ATATCTTTTGGAAAATATTTTCATTCTGGGGCAGTTTCGCAGTTTTCACTTTTTAGAGGGGGCCATTGTGCAATTAATGAAAGTTATTGTTCAAAGCCTTGTTTTGAGCCTGGATCCTCGTATGGAATTCATTTTCACATTTCGTCGAGTCGTGGACTCTTAGAATTTCCTCCTGGGCGATGTTTTCCAGTTTCTGGGTTTCTGACCCTGGTTTGCGCCAAACTTGTTTTGGGCATAACTCTCTGCTCGGGACTCAGTTTTCGACGTCGTTTCTTCTGTTATTCATATTTTCTCATTTGGAATCTTTTTTTCATTCACGGAGTTTTTCCGTTTGAGCACGTCTGCTCGAATTTCACTTTTCTGGACCCGGCGGAGCCCGTTCGGGGCACTTTTTGAGTTTTTCTATAAATATGAGGTCTTAGAAAGAAAAATCAGATTTCTCTCTCTTTCCTCTCTCATGGCCGGTCCAAGCTCCTCCCATGGCTGCCATCTTCTCTCTCCTCTTTTGGACTTCTTCCCTTCATTAAAAAATGGTGATGCCTTTATGTTTATTGTTCCCCTCGGCGAGGCCATCGATTCCAACTAATTGGAATCTCGTTTTGGCCATTTCTTGAGTTCGGGTTTGAAGTCAAGTTGTGTTTTTGATGGGGCTTCCTTGGGGGTTATGATCACCGTGTTGTCCCCGACAAAACCTAGAAATTTCGTCGGATTCGGAGCCGTTCCATTTTGGTGGGAATTTGAGATTTCATCTCAAATGGAGGTAGGGAATGTTTTAGGATTTTATATGTATTGTATTGTGTGTTTTCCATGTTTATACAACCTATATACATGCCTTGTATCAAATCTAGAAAATTTGAAATATTTAATTCTTTGTGTAAGATTTAATTTTCATGATGATGAGAAATTTGGATTTGAATTGTGGTATGGTAGAAACTCTTGTTCTAATATGTTGGTTAACATATATTAAATTGGGATTAATTAAATAAGAATTACTCTTTTTAATTAATATTTATCTTTTGTGAAAGATTAAAGTTTATGGCCGTACCTTGCATGAAATTGAGTTGTAATATGCTTTTAAATTAAGTCATGGCATGTTCTTTAACATACCTTAATTTGAGAGCATTTGATTGAGTTTGAAAATTTAGAGACTTTAATTAAGAGAATTAATTAAAATCTAATTTTGTGGTTTCATGGGCCTAATTAAGCTTTTATGTGAATGTATGTAATAACCATGATATGTCTATTAACATATATTAAATTGGGGCTAATTGGAAATAATTTGAAATCTAGAGAGTTTAATTATTTTGATGTAATTAGATTCTATCTTGTTTATCCATGGATTTAATCATGTTTTAGAAGGTGCTTCTATTTTAAGATCATGGATTTAGACTTGTGAAGTATTCACTTGATTGTGTTATATGCATTGAAAGGCATTGTTGTTAAATTTATATTCATGAGAGTATGTTTCTAATATGAATATATTGTTGGCTTGTGATTTCGTAACATTATGGATATGAAATGCTTATTATGCACAATTGAGAGTTATATTGCTAACTTGTTACTATGTAGTAGTAATATGTATAAGTTATGAACTTATTTGGCTTATTTTGGAATCTTGTAACATTGTTGAATTGAGATGGCTAGGGTTTGGCTCTAGTATGGGGACGTGAGTCCTCTAAGTCATTGAGATAGTGCGCACTTAGGGTGGTCTTCCCTGTGGGTTAGTGCCCGGAATAACCATTGAGGTCTCGGCAAAATTCCGAGCGTGATGTCCAAGTCTTCCACTATTTGTTTTCGCATTCAATTCCAAGTTGACAATCATGTTTACCTTGTTGACTTGTGGTTTTGGCTATTGGCGATTTTGATGTTGTTAAGTACATCCATACTAAATTGACATATTTAGTTGATTTCACACTTTTAAATTTCTAGTTGATAACCTGGAGAATCTAGGTCTTGATGTGTGGTATTAGATATTCTAATTATGCTAAATTGTTATATTTAGTTGATGTTGTATTTTAGACTTCAAGTTGATAACCTTGAGAATCTATATGTTGTTGCTTTGTGTAAGCATGTTCCTATGTTGTTGCTTTGTGTAAGCATGACTCTATGTTACTAAAATTGCATGAATGAGGTGATTGATGCTAGAAATGATCTTAGGTAGTTAGGATGCTCCTTGAGTCTCACCTTTGACATAGACGTTAAGTGGAATAAATCACAATAATTAAATCATGCAAACTTGTAAAATGTAGGTCGATGCATGTTCTTTTCCTACGAGTAGTTTTATGTTACTCACCCCTACGATACTGGGGCATATTTCAGGTACAAGAATCAAAGTTGGGGTCTTCATTATGCTTGGATGGTTTGTGGACTTGGAGACTTCCATTTTTGTGAAGGTTGGCTTGAAATGCCAATTGTAATCTTATATGTCAACATGTGTACATGAGTACACTCTTTACGATGTATTTGACATGTATGAGATGAGGCCGGAGGCCAATGACATGTAATTTGTATCCTATGTAATTTTTGACTTCATGGAATATTATGAAAGTATTGGAAAATATTGAATTTTTGCTTCACCATATTTGCATTGGGTGTGGAAATTCCATTTTAATTCTTCCATTAGCATGCATTCACCATGTATGAAGTATGGCCAAAGGCCAAACGGCATTTTGAAACCATCTCATGATTTTAAATTCCAAGTTTTCGTTCCAAACTTCGTTTTTAGCATTTTGGCCGTTGGGGGGTCATATTTTGTATCGGCCATATTTTTTAGCCATGGACCATTGTAGCACATCTTATTAGGTAAGTTACGTTTACGTGCATGGTTGTTTCTGGGCAAAGATTCTTTTTTGGTGAAATGAGCCTCCTACGGACTCATTTCACACTTTTGTTGCATAATCTGACCTAGGGGTATTTTAGGAATTTCCTTTGGGAAATAAATTCCGCTCTTCACATGGTTGAATGGAAAACATGATTTTAGGGGGGGGGGGGGGTTTCTTTTTTGTGTTTTTCCAGAAAATGTCATCTTGACATCGGAAATCGCTTACGAAGTTCAGCTTTCAGTTTTCTAAATAGCAGCTTTTTGGACCCTCTGGACCAGTTTTCTTGGGAGGGCACTTTAGGCATTTCATAGTGCGTATTTTTCGATTTTCTTGCTATCCATACAGAAAACTCGATTTTGAGTGGGGTTTCTTCTTTGTGTTTTTCCATAAAATATCATCTAGGCCCTCAAATTTTCATTTTTTTCAGGAAAAACCCCTGCTGCAAGGTTTTTGGGCTACCCATTCTGCCTCCTTCACATGTAAACGGTTAGAAAAGGCTTCGTAATCGGTTACATGTGCATGGGCAGTGTTTTGGTCGAGGTTTTTGGTCTTCTAACCGGTTAGGAAGGCTTGGTAACCGGTTAGATGGCATTGGGTTGGCTATTTTGACCGTTTTGCCCATGTTTCTTCCGTTAGCCATATCTTCTTCATCCGAATTCCGAATCAAGTGATTCTTAAGTCTAAATTCATTAATTTTTCGTTGTCTTTCCAATGGTGTGCTCGGTGACACCCACTTTTAAGCTAGAAATGACTTTTTTGCCCATAGGTTCATTCTTGCTCGTTTTTTAAAACGTTGCTTCCGCATTTAATTCCTTTGGTTTCCGTGACCTCGTTGAGGGTCATAATGGTGTCTGAGAGCCATGTTGTATCTCTAGAGACCGTTGTTTTGTCTTTTGCTTTCGCATTTCGGATCCGTTATCGGGTCATCTTTCAGTTCATCACTGACACACCGGGTTAAAAAACTTGGGCCGTCTCAAAATGCACATAGAACCAAATTTAAATTCTAATTTTATCCTTTTGAAAACTAGGGGTATTACAATTGCTGTCATTTGTTTAGTTTGGATTTTCTAGGGGTCCACACAGTATGGATTCCCGAGTTGTATTTTGGAGGATCAGTTGTATCAGAAGAGTTTATTAATTAATGGAAATATATTATGAGGTTTATTATTAAATTATCATTTTAGTTTCTTGTACTCTATGTTCGTTTATTATCAATTTGTTTTGATATCCTCGGGTATTCGGGCGTGGGCCTGGCCAACCCGCATTCGGAAATCCGGGGGTATCACACGGCGTCTCGCTGATTTGTCACTTGCAGTTGGCCGTTGAGAGCTCAAGCTCCTCACTGGTGTTGTTGCTAGAAAGAGAAATTTTCATCGTTCTGCAATTCTCGCTTGAGTTCCTTCTCTACAACTTCGTTGGAGTTGGTGGGTCTATGAAGGTGAAATTGGCCGGACTTGATCACGTTGATGAAGGAAGCTATAGCTCTCACTGATATTCACGATGAACATGCCTTATCATCTTACTAGTAGGTCTCATCGATTTTTGCTGTTTTAATCGGTTGTTCTTTAATGGAAAGATGGGTTCTAACTAAGCCGGTTCAATGTTCGAACTCCGGCCACTGATGGGTCTTTAATGTTGTTCCGGCCATGGTAGTCATCGTCCTAATTGCCGCAAATGCTATGTGACTGTTACTTGGCATCAATGGTGGAGTAATTAACGAACAAACCAATTGATGGTTTTTGTCGCTCAACACTGGTTTGGTGCTAAAACGATGCAGAGGAGATGATGAGGTTGGAACCTAGATGTTGGTTGTGATAAGGCAGTGAGCTGTTCAATTTCTATTGGCTTTTGAGATTTTTTTTTACAAATCAGCAATAGAAATTAATAAAAAATTAAAACAGGGCTCTTCAATTAAAGGGTAAAATAGTAATTTTCTTTTTCCGGTAAGGCCAACTTAACCTAATGTCCTTAAATGCAACTTTTTAATAGTTTAGGGGGGCACTTGTTAAATGAGGGGGGTTTTGTGTAATTCGCTTATCAAGGAGGTTATATATGCACTTTACCCTATATTTTTTTAAAGTTGGTAACTAGTGTGGACTACTTTACGTACCGTGCCACTTGACCAAGCAGCTAAATTCAGATAGAATTTTGGTTCTCTCTAGCTTACCCAAGACCGACTTTATTAACCAATGTGAGTGTCATTGAGCAGTAGTAGTTGTTACGGTTAATTTTCTTTGTTTGCTTTCATGGCCCAAGACCACTATGAGTTCAGCCACCCTGACAAAATTACTCAAACTGAGCCGCCCACACCTTTTCCTAACACACAACTGCACAAACATGAAAGAAGTCATGAAGTTCCATGCCCATTTCATCACAAATGGCCTTTCCAATGACACCCTTTTCCTCAGCACTGTCCTATCCTTCACTGCACTCTCTCCTGCTGGGAATTTAGCTTATGCCCACTTAGTTTTCAACCACTTAGATGCTCCAAATTTGTTCATGTTCAATACTATGATCAGAGGTTATGCTTCTAGTTGTGATCCTATACAAGCCATCTCTCTTTACATTCGACTGTTTCGATCCGGGCTCTTTCCCAATAACTATACCTTCCCTTTTGTCATCAAAGCTTCATCCCATATTACAGACTCCACGTGTGGACATGCCATCCATGGTTCTGTTATTAAATTCGGACACTTATTGGATCTTCATATATCGAATTCACTATTACACATGTATGCTAGTTTTGGGTTCTCGAAAGAGATTGTTAAGTTGTTTGATGAAATGCCTGAACCAGACGTGGTGTCATGGAATGTTGTCATTGATGATTATGCTCAATGTGGATGTCTTGGTGAGGTTCTATACGCATTTGATAGGATGTGGAATTCTGGGGTTGAACCCAATTCAGTCACTCTGCTCGGTCTTCTCTCTGCCTGCTCAAAAATGGGTAATTTGCATATTGGGAGGTTGATTCATTTGTATATAATAAAGAATGATATTCATGTTGGTGAAAATCTAGGAAATGGGTTGCTTGATATGTATGCAAAATTCGGAGATATTGATTCAGCTGAGAAATTGTTCAAGAGGATGCCTGTGAAGACGGTGTTTTCGTGGACCTCAATGATAGATTGTTTCATACAGAAAGGTGAATTAGAAAGTGCCAGTGTGATTTTCAATCAGATGCCTGAGAAGGATACAACTTCTTGGAATGTGATGCTTAATGGGTTCATGGTGGCAGGCAATATGAATTCTGCGGAAGAAATTTTCAAAGCCATTCCTGATAGGGATTTGGTTTCATGGAACAGCATGATCGTTGGTTGTGCTCAGAACAAGAAATATGTAAAAGCCCTGGAATTCTTTAGAGAAATGCTGTTTTCAGGAGTTAAGCCGGATCGAATAACGCTGGTTAGTGTGTTCTCTCTATGCTGGTTTACAGGTGCATTGGAACTTGGTGAGTCCGCTCATGCTTGTGTGGAGAAACAGAACATAAAAGGGGAAGAAGTTGAGGTAGCTTTGTTGGACATGTACTCCAAGTGTGGGGCTCCTGAGAAAGCTCTGAGAGTTTTTAATGGCATTCTAAGAAAGTCTGTGCTGGCTTGGAGTGCCATGATAGTTGGATTAGCCATGAATGGTCTTGCAAATGAAGCACTCCACTTCTTCCATCAAATGCAAATTGCAGGAACAAAACCGAATGAGGTCACTTTCATTGGTGTCCTATGTGCATGCAGTTATGCGGGGCTAGTTGAAGAAGGTAAATGGTTCTTCAATGCAATGGACCAGATTTATGGCATCAAACCAAGGGCCGAGCACTTTGGTTGCATGGTCGATGTTCTGGGACGTGCTGGGCTGTTGAAGGAAGCAGAGATCTTTATTCAGAATTTGCCGGTTAAAGTCGACGCTAGTGTCTGGGGAGCTCTACTCGGTGCGTGTAGAATGCACGGTGAAGTTCAAATGGGTGAAAAAGTGGCAAGAATACTGAAGGAAATGGATGCAACTCATTCAGGTCAATATGTACTTCTCTCCAACATTTACGCTGCGGAAAACAGATGGTTAGATGCAGAAAAGGTGAGGAAGGAGATGAAAGCTTCTGGAGTGCAGAAAAAGCCAGGTTTCAGCTTGATTGAGCTGAAAGGGGATATGCACCAGTTCTTGGCCGGGAATACTTATGCCGGAAACAGAAATAAATACGCCATGGAAGTGGAGATCACTGAGAGAATATAGAAACACTAACATACCAAAACCTAGCTTCTTGATAAGAATGCATCCTGGGTTGATTATGATGAACTTAAGCCACGACACCATTATAAGAAATTTTACCTTTCGTGGGGTGTGTTCATTGTATGGAATTAAGGTTGTGTATAATGACCGTCCAGTGGTGCAAACAAAGAAATTCAACTGATTAACAACAAATGAGACAAAGATATTGTTGAAAGATAGAGCTTGAAATTCAAGTAGAGCTGTGTGAGCTGGCTTCTTTACTTCTTGATAATACAAAATCTCTGAATTTGTTTCTAAGTTGACAACAGTTCAATATATAATATATCTCTGGGATAAAATGGCTTTTAAAAGTTGTGGATATTGTTGGCTTTTTCCAATTTTCTTTTCTCATGGCTTTTTTCTCCCCCTCCCCTTTTCAGTGGCAATTACAATGTGCTTTCCTCCAACCATCTGAATTTGAGATTGAGAGGCTGCTACTTGTATTCGGAGATGGCATCCACTGTTGCTATTATAGAGAAGCTTGGATGCTTGGGCAAGCTGGCTTCACGTATAAGAGCAGATCATCCTCAAGTCAGTCAATTTCAGAGAATGCACCAGGTTTAAACTTCTTGCAAAGTGATTCTGCAGCTGCTTCTACTCTTGCTCGATCCTGCAGCCAATTTTGCAAAGGATTTTATTATATATGCGTGTGTGTGTGTGTGCACGCGCGCTTAATGACTTACAAAACCATTAGTCATCCTTGTGCAACCATTCTTATACCTTGCCTTCAAAACTAATCACGAGATGCCCACTTCTGGATTTGCGATAACAACCTTGATGTTTAAAAAAGAATAAAATAATTAGAAGAAAGAACAAACTAAATGTGTCTGACAACCAAAAAAAAATTCTAAAAAAGACTTACCAATGTAAAGATCTGGGAATTCAAGACAAAGTTTTGATAGAGGTTGAGTAGTTTCTAGCTGCAATAAGTGGGGCGCATATAACAATTAGATGATACCACTAAACATAAGAAGATATTACATGATTATCCAACCAAAGCATTACAAGCCACCCCTCGTTAAAAGAAGAAGAAGAAGAAGAGAAAAAAAAAAAAAAAAAAGCATTCATCAGATATCAATAATATGCAGTATCTGCACTGTTCTGCTATCTTGTAGAATTTTCAAAATTCCCAGGTCTTGACATCTTAAATAAAATCTTGACTGGTTTCCTTTCCCCACAAAAGTTGTGTGTGTAAAAAGGAATTCAAGTAAAACAAGAAAAAAAACGGATAAAAAGTCAAAACAGCCAGTTGCATCAAAGAATGACAAGCAAAGAGGATCATTGCTGTAGATTACACCATGCGGACTGGTATTTCCAATGTTAGTTAAAACTTCCTTCAAATTGTAATTTCAGACAAAGAGGACAAGTTCCCTCAATAACCTAAGATAACGCTCCATGTGTAAATATAAACTAAAGAACAAAGATGTAACCAAGAATCAAAAGGCATTCTGCCTTAAGATTTACACCTCCCCTTCTAGGGTATGCTACACCTAATACTTTCACCTTTTTAAGACTTGTGCCTATGACTGGGACAATTACTTTATCAGACAGGACCAAGCATAGAGCAGCAGAAACAACATACAGGATCAAGCCAGACTAAACCCAGTACAAATCGTTTGACACACAAAGGCCAATAATAGCACATAGATCTATGTGCCAAGAATTATATATGTACACCAGCCACATAAAAAATGTTTTCCGTCACACGCAGTCCGAATTGAAGTTAACAGGTCAGATGAATGAGTTTGCCACCAAAACATTAGAGAACCCAAACCACAAGGGAAAACTAAGGAAAAGGTAAAGAAAAAAGCATTGTCCAAATTCATAGAGGGTATACCAAGTGTAAGCAGACATGGGGTGACAATTATATGCAAACAGAAATTCTTCATGCTAGCAGACTTAAAATCACAAAACAACAAAAAGAAGTTAGAAATTGACAGGACAGTAACTTGGACACATACATCTGAAAGAGTTGTTGTCAAGTGCTTTGATACAAATGATTCTGCCTGTACTAGCACACCACTACTACATCTTGATAGTTCAATCAGACAATCCCACTGCCTGTCCAGCTCGGTAACATTTGTTGCGGTAAGAACTATTACATTTAAACACTTGATCTACAGGAGAAAAAAATTGGATTGTCAGTAATTCACAAATTATAATTTCACTTCATAAATCAGTCTCAAACACACACACATGCAGCACGTAAGAAAGAGCTCTAGAGGAAAGAATAAAGATTTAGATCATTCACACTTGAAATAACTATGCTGGAAATCAGTGATGGTGAAGGCAGTCATTCCTCATCTTTTGAATTCTACAGCAATTAACAAATATTCTATGAGAAAGTAAAGGACAGCATTGCTTACAGACAGGTTCAAAATAGCTTTGTCGACCGATAGGATCTATTTTCATTGGTGAGTATCTTAACTCAACAAACCTCAATCTCCTCTACATGGTAGGTGAACCAGATCTGTTTTCATGAATATCCCAATTCTAATTTTAGTTTGACTATGTTGAAGGATTTAAATATTGAAGTTAAACCCTCTATACAACTTAAGCTTTTAGAGTAAATGGTTGTTAACATGGTATCAAAGCCAAACCAAGCTTTTGATTCGGTGTCACACCAAGCACCCATCTAGGTCATTACTGGGCCCTCCTGCCGTTAGGGGAGACGGGTAGACAGGGTGCTCCGATTGCAACGAGAGCGTTGCGAGTCCGGGGTGGGAATAGTTTAAGCTAGTGGAATATAGAGGGATCTTGTCCCACATCGGATCCGGATGAGAAAGGACTTGGGCATATATGGGCGGGTATGCAGTATTACCCAACTGCTTAAGTTTTTGGGTTAGAAGACAAGTGTCCAACCCGTTACAAATAGTATCAGAGCTGGCAAGTTCTTGTGGTCGAACCTTACCGTCACCCTGATAATTAAAATTGAAACACGTGTTGGACCAAAAAGAAGGCCACACACGAGGGAGCGTATTGAAGGATTTAAATATGGGTTAATTTCACTAACACTCCCTTAGGTTTGGCCAAATATCACATTGAAACACCTTTCGAAAATTATTATCACTCACATTACAAATGTTTGTTCCGTTTTTCACTCACACCCCAAAAGTTACTTTTCAGAGGTGTCAGACCACTTTTTATATGTTAAATGACATTACTACCCTTTTGACTATGTGTTGACTTAAAAAAGAGTTGAAATGACTTAAAAACCCTTTCCCACTTTATAAATTTACAACTATTATTATTATTATTATTATTATTATTATTATTATTATATGGGGAAGATAAACTTGTCCCTATATTTTATGGACAAAAATAATCATATTGGTATGTGACACATCATAAAAAATATGGGTATTAGTGTAATTTTAATACCTAAGCCTCATCCTACACCCTAATCACACCAAATCGTTTCTCTCTCCTAAGCCCCTAAATCACAAACTCCATCGTCTCTTTCCTAGGTTACTAGCAGTCGGTTATAGGGTTTTGGTGGTGGTGGTGGTCTGCTATGGGAATGGTGGCGGTGGTTGTGGTGTGGGGTGGGGTGAGGTGACTAAAAGAAAGGCAGGAGCATAAGCTGACATGGACATGTGAGACTACATAAGCTTTATTGATGTGCTAGGTTTTGATGCGGCAGCGGTTGTAGGGGTGAGTGATGGTTATGTGGATGGTTAGCTGTTGATTTTGCTAGTGGTTGTGGAGATTGGTGGTTCATTTGCCGAAATCGATTTGCAGCTGCAGTGACGATCTGCAACGACAGTGGCGACGGTGAATGCTTGCGGCTATGATTTGCAAAACCTATAACACCGGCAGTGAAGTTCTGCGGCGATGGCAGCAACAATCTTCCGTTCAAGCACTTCACCGTCGAACCATGCACAGCTTTGCTAAGTGAAGGAGAAGGCTCCTGACCATATCGCTGACAAGCTCACTGGTCCGGAAGTGATGATAAATTGGGCCAGAGTTGGGGAAACTTCATCCTCTCTTCATGATCGAAGGCCTCTCGAGCGGTTCACTGTTGTTGATTGTTGTTGGGTTTGTAGATTTGGGGGAAAAAGCTTCAAAATCTGGTATGGGAGGGAAAGGAGGCGACACGAGATATATATATATACATATTTGTCTTGTGTGAATCGAAACAACAGGAGAAGAAAGGTGTCGGTGACCGATGAGGCGATGAGGACTTCGTAGGTTGGCCGGATAGTGTATCGATAAACCCTTCTTGTGAGGTATTAACTATGTGAACTTCCTTCCCTTATTTGAGCCGGTCAACAATGGTGATCCTTTCTGCACATGCATCAAACTTGTAAAAGTACATTGGAGTTGCGAATGGAATATGCATAAATATGGTGGTAGGGGTAAAATGGCCATTTTGGTTACTTAATATTTTGGAATAAATAGAATTAAAATATTAGGGGCAAAGTTGTCTTTTTACATGTTTTTAACGGTGTTAGTGACGAAAAAGTAAAATTGGACCAAAGTGAAAATAATTTTCGAAATGTGATATTTGACCAAACATGAGGGGGTGTCAGTGAAATTAACCCTTTAAATATTAACGTTACACTCTCTCAAACAACTTTAGCTTTAGAGTAGATGATGGTTAACAGACTAGAACTTGCTAAATGTATGTTGTTGTTCATGTAACAAGTTAACTCCATTAAGTAAGGATGAAAAAGGAGAGTTGGAAGAGAGAAGTTTGTGGATAACAGAGACCATAATAAAACTTTCCTTTCCAGAAAGATCTAAAAGCTTGATAAGTCACATTTTAATTCCATGCCCTACTGAGTAAGGAGGGTAATCAATCTCAATAATATTCGATAATCATCGAAAGGTGACTTCTCAATGTATCAACACACATATATATAAGCATCAAATTAGAACCCTAATAAAATTCTAACTACTAAAAATAAAACCCTAAAATACTAAAATATCCTAAAATTAGAGCATTACTGAAAAACAATAAACGAAAATCAACACTAATTATCTATCCTTGTCCCAGCTCCAAAAAGCTAGTGCATCAAAGCAAACGTTAGGAAAAAATCAAGTTTTTTTTTTTTTTCCTTTCCAAGTAATTACAGTAATCAAATTTTCAGTTCATAATACAATTAAATGCTCCTCCAGAGTTTTCAGCAGAAAAAGCCAAATTGAAATTCCTGCAACTTGATTAGACTATTATGAAATGCACGACAGAGTATAATAACTTCAAAAAGACTTTCGAAATCACCCAAAAGAATAAATAAATAAAATCACCATATGTCGGATTCTTAAAACATACCAAAGGCACAGGCAACATTTCATGATGCAGTAATTCAGTGATACCCTCTGGTAACTGAGCCATCTGAAACAAACAATACAAAGAAAGAAGAAAGATTAGATCAATTCCAAGTTGTATAACTCAAAACCATAGCATATTGTGCTAAATGGGGTTGGGCCTGAAGGCCCTGAATGATATATAATTACAAATAACATATTATACACACACACACACACATATATATGAAGTTGGACCTTGATTACCCAAGAACAGCTGGAATCCAGGTCTGACATGTGTTTTCTAGCCTATATATATTTATATGGAATTGGACCCTGGTTGCCCAAGAACAGCTGGAATCCAGGTCTGCCAAGTGTTTTCTAGCCTAGCTCCGAGCAGGACATGCTATATAAACTATGTGATGGCATAAAGCCATCCTTCCATAATAAAGCACAAGTATCTTATTACAGAAAGCATATTTCAGCCAACTGAGATGCATTGTACAATCAAAATAAAATAAATTTCACAGCCAACTCTTTGACATCATATTACCAACTCTTTTGACATATTACCTCATTCCGATCCCCAGTGCATTTGTCACCTATAAGATGCCTAAGATATTCTTCAAATTCTTCATCAGGAGCCTGAAATAGACAATCGAATATATACGGAATGCAGTTAGTACTACCAACATCCAATTTAGAACAACCGATACATTTAATTATATCGTTGAATATCACCAACTACTGGCCAATTTGGCTGTTTAAAAAGATTCACAAGTTTAAATCTCTTCCTCTAGTAATATCAGTAGAGTAGGAGAACCGATTAAGTCTCAATAAAAGAAGGAATTTTAACATGCATCATTAAAGAAAGAAAAACAATTTAATCTAGACATAAGCCTCAACTATAATATAGCACAAGGGAATTTTAACATGCATCATTAAAGAAAGAAAAACAATTTAATCTAGACATAAGCCTCAACTATAATATAGCACAAGGGAAGTATCTCTTCAATATATACGCACCAAACGAACCCCAAATGCTTTAGCAACTCCTGCTACAGTAACATCTGACTGTAATGGGCCAACCCCTCCATATATAAAAACCTGAAATGACCAGCTCAAGTTTGGTCCACAAAAAGCATCAGAGATTACACACACAAAAGGCAGTGATTCAATTAATCACAGGAAATAGCTTTTTCACAATAGAGCTCTAAAACAAACTGTAAAGGTTTACCATATCTTTTGTAGACTTCTGCCGTTCAACTTCTTCAGCTACAGAATCTATCTGAATTTGGAAAAAAAACAAATTGGAACTGTAATAAGAAAGTCAAAAAATGAAAACTAAAAACTTCTTCCAAATCCATCGACATTTAGAGAAACAAAATGCTTATGATTATTTAGCAGGATATTCGGTCACAGTTTATTGACACATTTCCATATAAATATTTCAAATAAAATTTGACTAGTTTGGTAAGCAACATAAATACTTGTTGAAGAAACTAATCTGGAAAAAGAAAGATAATGTGAGTGTGTGTATTCGTAACTTTTGCCATGCCCAGGCAAATGGGAGAATGAGATATATATACCCAATATGATGTAGTCCAAAGCCCCAAAACATCAATAGTAATTTTAGAATGTAGAGGAGATTCAATTTTCATCATCTGATTTTTTTTTCTCAAAACCAAGAATCAGTAAAAATCTATTGCATTAACAAACAACTACTGGTGAAATGCAGCCAAATATTTTGTGGGGAGGCAAAGATCCTGATTGATTAAATCATTTAAATAAATCCAACGAAAAGAGTTGTATTACCTAGACAAAGCTATACTACCTCAAATTACCAAAAATAGCTGTGTCAAAAAATTATTGTTTGGTAACTTACATCATTTCGAACGACAGCAATTTGTGATACCACCCAACCTATAGAATGGAGCTTTCTACACAAGCTTGGTCCCAATTGATCCTCAACGGTGCCAAACCTGAGCTATGGAATCAATAGAAAAATATCAGATACTTGATTGACAATGAATGACAACGTAATATAATGTGTAAATTTGGAGGACTATCTTCCCATAAGGAATTAATGAACTTCAAAAAGATGCACATTGCATCGAATGTTTTGACTTTCTGCTGCTATGTCAGGCAACCTCACTCAGATTATGTTCAACACCCACAACTGTGTGTGGCTTAGAATTGCTGAAGTCACACATCAAACACCTAACTTACATGTCACATTCTAATATCCATTCCCACGTCCATGTTAAATAAGTCAACAGAATGAATTTCAATGTAAAAAGGAAATAACCACATAGAAAGAAAGTCAAAGTGCTAAACTGAAATCATTGTCATCATTGTCAAACAAACTGTTAACTGACGATTACAGGATTAGCCAAAGAACATTGAAATAATGAAACATTAGCCCACAAGTACCAAGGTTATATATAGCATTGCTTAATAAAAAAACTATAACAGAAACACAAAAATCATTGACCGAGTGCTCAAAATTACATGAAACCAACAGAAAATAGAAGACAAGAATCAGACAAATGAAATAGTAGAAAAACGATGCAAGTACTTGAGAGTCATACTCTAAGGGCTCGTTTGGCAACCATTTCTGTTTTGCTTTTCTATTTTCATCCGATACAGAAACAACGTTTTTTTTATGGAGTGTGTTCATTTGTGATTGGAAGCATGTTTGGTAAAGTAAAATTTGTTGCAAGATTTTTCGAAGCAAAAACATGAAAATATGTACGGTAGCAAGATTGAGTACCAAAATGGCTAGTTAAAAAAAGCCTGCAACATGTTTTTTGGTACTGTTCACCGCTACAGTGCTTTGCTACAGTACGAAAACATTAGGCAACACCAATTTTTTGTTTCCTGTCTGGGCCTCTTTTTGTTTCAGCAACAAATGCGGTAGCAGCGGTACTATTCAAGTGGCAACAACGTAACCAAACATGTTGTGATTTTAGTTTCTCTACAATACACCACCTGCAACACAAAACACGCAACAAAAATGGTTGCGAAATAGGCCACAAGTCATGTAACTTCATCCCAAATTAGTTTTGGATGGCCTATCTGTCTCTTTACCTTCTAAGAAAAATGTAAACTAATCTTCCTGACTAATATGGGAATGGGACTTGTAACTTTTAAATATAAAGAAAAACAGTGTTTGTTTCATACAAAAAGATATAAGGCCATGACATATGTGATGAATGTGTTCTTGTATGCATACAGATATGTATAATTGTATATGCATTGTAAACACATAAATTGATGACCCTTCTCATTTAATAACCACTGGTACCTTTTGTTCTATGTTCTATAAATATGAACAAACTTTTTAAAAAGTCTATATGACATGTACTTAGATTTTTTTTTTTTTTTTCCACACTAAAATAAAGTCATGTCCAAAAACCAAGATTTATTTCTCACAAGTTAAGACTGTTCAAGAAAGGCCAATAATTTAGGGGGATAAAAACAAGAAAGGCCAGTAATTTGTCTGAAATTATGAATTTTACTTCAAGTTATGAACACATCCAAAATGAGTTGGACACTTCTCTGGAAGTGTTCAAGAAGTGCCTCACTTCTCTGGAAGTGTTCGATAGGTGCCTGCAATTTGTCTGAAATTAAGTATTTTTCCTTTAAGTTATGGACACATCCAAAATGAGCTGAACATTCTCTGGGAGTGTTCAATAAGTGACCCTGTCCAACAAAAATACAACTCCTCTTTAGAAGTGTACTTGCTTCCAAGGCTACAATAAACTTGAAAGCTTAATGAAGCGCTCATTCAAGTGGTACTCAGTAAAGCAGAAGTGGCTTAAATCAGTGTAGTCCAACCCCATATTTTGGGGATTAAAGCTAGTTTATATCAAGTTGAATTGAGTAGAAGGAAATGGCTTAGTGAACGTAAACCAGCATGGAGCTCATTTCCATAAACCCAATGTAATAAACAAGGAACATGGTGAATCTCATCCTTGCAAGTGAAAAGAGTACATCGCAAAAATTTTAAATAACCACAGAACAAATGAACCAGGAAAAATAAACTAGCATGGAGGCTATTCCTAATAAAGGTGCAATAACAAGGAGCTTACAGAATCTCATCTCCCACAGCAATGACTGAGGCTGTGAGCATGTGATTTTGCCGCAAATTTACATTTTCAAGGTCATTGCTAACACGTCCACAGACAGGAGGAGAAAACTTCTTTGCTCTCCCTGCTCTTTCTAATCTTCCGTCTGGTAACAGATATGCAGGTTGAAAATTTTCTTTGCTGTTGGCAGACTTGCTGATGCACAATAATGCATTTGGGACTGTGTCATGTATGCTACCAATTGAAGTGTAACTGTGAACAAAAAGAATAACAAAAATCAAAATGTTTAATGTGAATCAACATGTAGAACCCAGTACGACTTAAAAAGGAACTGAGCAAAATATATCTTTTCACCAGGGATCAGACAAGTACACCTCAAAAGTGTATCCTACATCGATAATGACAAAATTGAACAATCAAGCACAAGAACTTTTCAAACCATCCAGAAGAGAAATACCCTTGATCATAAAGACTGCAGTAGTGAACCTTGCAAGTCAAAAGAAAGGCCCAAACATCTCTGTCAAAACAACAAATTAACCCTTCAGATTCCCCAAAGAAAAAAACCAAGTGAACAAAAACAAATTTTAAACTCTATAAGCACCATTATGCCTACATGGAAAGAATAAGTAATCTAAAAGAAATGGTTGCAAACAACACTGCAGTGACTGTAGTGGCATTGGATGCTGGATGCAATCATAGTGGAATATTAGCAACTATTCTATTTCTACTTCATTTATCATTATTATAAGCAACTAAAGGCAAGATTCAAGGGGTTTAAGAAGTCAGGAAAATCAGCGCCAACAAGAAACTTCACAAACTGGTCGAAAAACCTTATATGATAGCTCAGGAAAAGATTACCTCCAGCCACAGAGGAAAACACACAGTAAAAGGCAAGGATGATGTTTCCTCTAGCCAAGCGGAAAAGGGGAAAAATAAATGAAGAAAGAGAAAAGAAACTATCTTGTGAAAAATAGATCTTAAATTCCAAAAAAAGGTCATTAAAGTTCCCCGAAAGTGCAAGAAGCCCAACGTCTAATTCCATCACATCCACTCTGTAACAGGCTGCTGGTTGTGCAGTATGCACACCCCTAAGTTCTTGTAGAAAAAGGGAAAATATATGAGCAAAGCTTTTTATCTTCTCCTTTGCGTAGAGTAATTAGGTACAAGGGTCATGAATGTTGATATTCACCCCCTTTATCCACAATATTCCTTTTTAGTAGTATTTATTTTCTTATCTCCAAAAAAAGGGAAAAAAACACCATCACTGGGTATTTCAAAGGATTACAAATTATAAGAATCTGAACTGAAAATTTTAGGCTTCACTTGTATCTAATTGCACGTCGTTTTTACTTTTTGTATCACAATTAAAAGCCTAATTGCTATATCAAAATTTTAAAACCTCTATTGATGTTAAGTATTTACTGGCATAAATTAGCAGCACTAAATACTAAATTGTATTTGTTTGATAAAATATCCAATGTTTCAGCTCTTAATTTGCTCAAATTACTAAATGAATGATTTAAAAATGACAAAAAAGAAAAGAAAAGATATTAGTGGATCTGCAACAATCAACTAAAAGTGTAAATGGCAGTTATTTTTCTTTTTATTTTCTACACTTCCTAGGTAAGGAATGAGCAACTTCGCTCCCAAGTCCTTGCTGTTTGCATTTTATAACAAAGAAAAAAGGCATAATTAGTGTTCTAAATAAATGCTAATGTGAAAATCTTATGGTACATGAAGAGAGACCTGTATGACCAATCCAAGATAGGATTCACTCTCATGAACGGTGGCCATCCAGGTGAACTAGGGGAGAATTGTTCTTGGCCTACCTGGAAGATGATGATCAGATAAAATGGTAAACTTTCATTCCTTTTAAGCCTTAAAGGGCATTTATGAAGCATTTGAAAGAAAATCTAATTGGTACAGAAACTTAAATTGCACTTGTATACCGCAGTAGGATCACCAATTCGGACACCAAGAAAGATAACTCTTATTGGCTGAGTTCTAAGGAGAGCCTCCAAACCAGATTTGAAATCTTGGCGAATGATATCCATTTGCATATGATAACTGCTCAAATGGTAATAGATTAAATCAATGTGCCAGAAGTATCAAAATATCAAGTAGTATAATTCTTATAATCACATTATTACACACGAGTACTGGAACCGAAAGGGGAAAAATCAAAACTTAAAAGAAAAACAGAATAGTAAAGAAAGAAAATAGCTTCTCTCACGTAGACGACGTTTCATAAGTGAAGGAGTTTATTTCAGGGAAGGCAGAAGGGCTCTCAAAATATATTGTCCGTATTGGAAATGTGAATTCACGGTCAGTGAGATCCCCATTGGAGTGACTTTGTTCCCTTTTATGCAAAGCATAGCCAGCCCTAAGCAGGTGTAACAAAACCTGCAAATCCAAGTACATTGTCAAAGACCAATGAAAAACAAACTATTAAGAGGTTACTCTTAACACGTATAAGAAACTTACAGTTGAATCCTTTCCTCCATTGAAGCTAAAAGCAACTTCTTCAATACTGTTGATGGAAACGACGTCAGTGCTTACAGACTTTCACAATAAAATGGATAAGGACAATGAAAATTATCGTCATGCGGTTCAAAAGAACAAGATAAAATAAAGCACTTATTGAGTATTACCATAATGACATTACATGCTAACGGCTCAAAAGAACAAGATACAAGTAGAGCAGATATTAACTGTATTTTTTCCTTTAAATGGTGTGATATATCCTAACAGCGTGACTATAAACAAATATAAGTATGCAATCTGACGTAAAACCTGTACTATATTACTCGGCTCAACTCAACTTTTTACTCGGCATGAGAGAACTAGCATTATATTACTCGGTTCAACTCAACTCTTTTTTTTTTTGGTATGTGGCTCAACTTCACTAGACTTGGCTCCAACTACTAGGGATTGAATACAAAGATCCATCTTCACTAGTTTACTCCTTGTAATTCCGAGTCTCACCCGATAGACAATGACTCAGCCGAGTCATCACTGTAATTCAAAGCTTCTAGACGAAGAAGTGACACATTACAAGAAGTTAACAAGGTTACATTGTCTCATCCCATATATTGAGAAAACTTGCACGTCTTGCTCAAGACAACACCGTTATGCAAGTCATGAAGAGTTGTGTGAGGAGTCAGCGAAACATATCATAATACCTCAATGACAGGCAATGAGAGATCAGCTCAATTATGCAGCATCCAAAACCCAACAAATTCAGGTGGATCTTCTACATAATCCTATCCAAGAAAGTCCGTTGCTTTCTCAGCTACTCAAATCCAAATAAAAGTTCCCCTACTCACCCAAAGCTTCATACACCATTTCTCCTCCGAGCATCAAGTACCAAATACTTGGTTCTTTATGTTTGATACTCTGGTATCTTTAACAAATTCAAATTATATTAACATGATTGTGCATATACTGTAAATCTATTGTAGATCTAAATGTTCTATGCTGTTAGATCTACACCAATGCATTTTTTATTTTGTTTAAAAGCAAATAAAATATATGATGCACGGGCAGCTCGACTGGTAAGGCCCTTGGGGGTACTCCCCTTAGGTTGGTGGTTCGAGTCTCTCTAAAGGTGAGACGTGGGTTTAAATGATACAGAATGAAAGATCCCACTGAATTGAATTGGGTCCATGAATCTAACAAATAGTGAGAATTCTTGATTTCTCTCAATATCTCTCTCAATTCGAAAATCCAAGATTTGAATTGACGTCCTTTCATTGATTCCTCATAAATTGCAATGATTTATCCTACAGATTTTATTTCAATTGGAATTTGGTTATTCACCATGTACGAGGATCCCCGCTACGCATCCATGGCTGAATGGTTAAAGCGCCCACCCCCCCCCCCCCCCCCCCCCCCCCCCCTTACCATTAGCAAGAACTTGCTTCAGTTGCATATCATAAGGAATTCGAACAACTGCTTCAAAAACAGTATCCAGAAGTACCGCTTGCGGAACTTCAATATCCACGGGCTTATTAGCTAAATGTGGTTTGTAGGTAAGCGAGTGCATCCAAAGTTTGCAAACCATCCAAGAGTTCAAGGGTGGGTTGATTCATCATTACCCAAAAAAAAAAAATAACACAAAACAAACGCATGTTTTGTGTCTTCAAAAGTATGATAGATTTGTTAAGTTTCAAAATATAACTAATGAATGATGTGTCTTTTGGTATTAAGTCCCTACTTCTCAAAGGGAGGTTAGGGGTTCAAGCCTCAATGGAGGCATGGGTGTGTGAGTACCAACTAAAAAATAATAAAAAATGATGCGTCTTTTGGTAATTGTTTTCACAGAAATTCATGTAATGCATAATAACTTTCTTTGATTCTTGCATAAAATGCATTAACACATGTTTTCTTTACTAATCAAAGTAGGTAGCACAAGCCAACTGCAATAAACTAAATTATTATGTCAGAGAAACAAACGAACCATAGCAACAACTAATGGGATTTCAAACTGACTAGCATCTGAACCGCAATATACTAGAATAGGAACTCACTGGAAATTGCACAATGATTGGATAGCCTCAAGGGAGCTTTGACACTTTACTAGTATCGCAGTATCTTACTAGTATCATATATTTAATTGCTACTTTATACTTTCTATTCTATGTCTTTTTGAAGAATCGTCGTTTTTATTAATAAATTTATGTTCAATCTAAATTTATAGTAACCGTAGTGAATGACATTAACAACAAAAACTAGAAGAAACTTGGAAAATTTCATAATATCAGTGCAAAAATGTGCAAGTAATGTGAGTCATTTATAGTAATTGTAGTGATAATAACACTTAACAAAAATCATAATAATAACAACAAAAACTAGAAGTAACTTGGAAAAATTCACAATATCAGTGCAAAAATATGCAAGTAATGTGAGTCATATAACTACTAGACTATCAAAACTTATTAGGAAACACTCAATTTTAAGTATATTATTCACATCGAATAGACACAAAACAAGAAATCATCCAATCCTCTTGGCATCTAACCACCTAGTAGGAGTGAAACAAACGGTTGAAATTACATAAACTAGAATTCAGCACCATACTAAATTATCAACCAAATATATATATATATATTTGAAGAAGAAAGGCCATTACCAAGAGCTATTCATAGAATTAAGGTGCTGTATACAGTGAACTGGGTAAAAGCTGAAAACCTAAAATCTGGCTTTTCCATTTACACAAAGTAACAGCCTTAGACCCAAGCTTTCCTTCTCACACCCAGGCCGATATTTACCATTACACCAAACAAAGGTTACTAATAGATACCATCAAATTATATACTCAATTTCTAGCCAATGAACTCAACTTCTTATTTCATGAAAATAGAAAAGAAAAAGGAACAAAAGAATAAATCTACTAAAGAAAGAAGGAATAATGATCTTCCCTAAAGTAATCCACCTATAACACATTTTAATAGATGCAATGATGGTTTGTTGAGTGTCTGGTCCATGGATAGCTAGTTGGTCATAGATCAAAGCACTCCAACTCAGGAAGAGTTTTAACTGCCAAAAATTTGAACAGAATGTGACTTTGAAGATGTTGTCAAGTAAGTAGTTTAGGAAGATGTTAACATTTAATCAGAAGTTCCACAAGCAAAGTAAAGTAATTTTGATTTGATTCCAAGATAAGCCATTGTTGACCAATCTCCTGTTAATAATGGCATCCTGGATCAGTGTTTTCTTCGTTGCTGAGTAGCTTTTGTTAGTTCTAGCTACTCTATGTTATAAATTGTACTTTTCCTGTCCTCTTTATCCCTTATTTATTTTTGCTTATTTTTTACAATTTTGTTTTCCACAAAAGGATATAGTAAGATCCATAAATAAATTCAAGAATTTAACATACAAATGTGTCATGGAAAGATTAACAAGAGAAGGCCTGAGGTAGACAAATACTCCCTCTATTATGTTACTGACATTTCCATAAAAGTCCTTGAACAATATATCTACAACCCTGTTATATTTCACACCGGGCGAAATGCCAGTGACACGTGTCAAAACATTCACAACGAAGCACAAAATGCAGCACTTAAGACAAAACTAGTGAAAACTACAATCCGTATACATACAAGGATACTCAGAATTCTTCCCGGCATCCACATCTAACAATCTTTATCCCCCTAACAGTCATAAACTGACTTGAAGATTAATTCACAGAATCTTCAATGATTAAGGACACCCAAATCATATCACTGTGAGAACCTTTACCAACATGAACTTTAAGGCAGGGAAAAAAAAAATGTCAAATCATAGTGGATAAGGAACTGCACATGCGTGTACTGATTTTAACTCTCAAGTTTCATAAAATTCCAATCCTGCAACAATATCATGAAAAAGAACCAAATAATCAAATAAACCATTGAGACCAATATGACTAAAATCAACTCATTAAATTGACAAAGTGGCATACACACAATGACTTTAATTTTTGAGTTCATGAATCTCCAGAACCATAACAATGGAATAAAAAATAAAAAAATGCCCCAAAATCAAACAAACCTAAGAGCCCCATTGAATAAATAAATATATATATATATCCCTACTTTTGGGGGATAAGTTTGGGACGCATGAAAATTAAGGCCCAACTGAAACTAAAACTGAAAAGCAAAGATAATTGGATTGAGGTAAAAGTACGTGCATGCACTGATTTTTCACTCCCAACCCTCAAATCTCCGAACCCCATATTTGTGCCACAAAGAAACACAAAAGGAAAGAAAAAGAAAATAATATAATTAGTGATATAAATTTATATAACGAAAACAAAGCATTCTTGATAATCAAAACCATACGAGAACATAACCGAAGAAAAAAAAACAAACAAGATTGAACTCACGAGTACAGGGCAAGTGCTCTTTGGATGACATAGATGGCGTTTTTGTACTTGGTTTTCAGCCTTCGATCATCACATTCTCTGATTGCTTCTTCGATCTCCATCTACATATATATATATATAATATAATATAATATAATATATGCAAGAAAGATAAAAATAAAGAAAATGGGGTTGCGTAAATTGAAGATTATATTCAGTTCGTTGCAAGTTCGCAGTGAAATTCACCTGTCAAACAGTTTCAAGCACTGAGGTCGGAGGGCTCGGAAATGGAGGAATATCTTTTTCTCTTTTTTTCCGTTCTTTCTTCTGTTTTTGGGTTTTGTCTTTGGCCTTTATCGTAACAGCCTTTTCTGATGCGAGTCCAACAACGTGGTCTTTAGATGCCACATAAAACATATCATTTATACGTTAAGCAAAAACGGTCTTTCACCTTGACCATAAATAAATAAATAGAATTTTATATTTCGATTACATATCTATTTTTTAATACTACGTATTCTACAAATATATTTAAAGTTGAAATAAAAAAATAAAAGCACCATAACTATGGTGTTAAGCGTTAGCATGACATCTTAAAAATGTCGATAATTATTTAACATTTATTTACTCATAATTTTAAGGGTATTCATACAATGAAATATAAAGAAAACTAAAAACAATGAAATATGAGAAACGAATGAGAGTGAAAAATGGATTGCGCAATTCAAGGGCATTCACGTTAGGCTTGATTTCTTCTTCTTTTTTTATGTTTTTTTTTTTTTTAAGAATTCACGTTAGGCTTGATCTTGCACCAGATAATGTCCACCTCAACACAGCCTTGCAACACAATGTCTATTGTCTAATCCTGTTGTCAGGTATCTGTGTGAATGTGTGTGTGTATAATTGGTAAATTATTATTATTATTATTATTATTTGATGGAGACGACCTGATCCAAGAGCACCAATCTATTGTGTCATCTCGGAAACTTCATTAAAAAGAAAAGAAGAAAAAGGGCTGTTAAGAATAATCAAACGAGGGTTCACCGTGTTTGACCAACAGACTTTTATTCAGTAAAGTCACTCACGGCTCAGGCATTCGTAACCCAAATAGCTTATCAGTAATAGTATAACTATGCAGAATTTAAATATTGAGAATTTAAATATCAGTATACTTTTCTTCTCCCTCTTCGTTTTTTTTTTTTTTTGGTACAAAATAATAACACAGAGGTTATATTCATCCACCATCTTTTTACTCCCAACATCTCAAATATGCCATTCAATATTCTTTTTCCTATTCGTCTTGGATGACTTTATCAGACCAAGTCTTTTTTTCTCGAATTCTTTCTGCCTCACTTTGGTTGAACCATTCTACCATAAGCTTGGGGTCCTAGAAACACATTATGTATGATATCAACATGGAACCTTTTTGGGTGTGGGTGTGGGTGTGGGTGTGTGCGTGTGTGTATATTATTATCGCAAGAAACTTACAAGGACCCATTACGAGAACTTGTGGCACCTAGTTCAGTCACAACTTGTGGCTCACAAGAAAACAAGAACAAGAGGAGAGTCCAATTTATCTTTCGGCTGTGCATTACTTGAAACAGGAAACCCTTGTGACAAAAAGGAACTTACACAACCTTTGATCACATACAAAATGAGACGCAAGTCTAAAACCACCCAAACTACAAAGCCATATGCAATGCTGGTTTCAAACTTCTGCACAACTCTTTCGTGGTATAACATAAATTCTGCAGTGCATGATGGAAGCTGATTGCCCACTTAGAACTGACAACTGTCAGAAAATCATTCTATAAATCTGGAATAATCAATCTACTCTACATCTTAACAGGTTAAATACAATTACACAAATGTTTACCTGTATATGGGAAGTGGGAACAATACAAAGTTAATGAGAGTCTAAAATGCACTAGAAGCTAGATCAAATTGTCAGTGAGGCTCCTCTTGTTTATGCAATCAAGAAAAAGAGAACAGACTACACTCTTAATTATCATTCTATAAATCTGGAGGTTTGCCTCTTAGTCATAAGCATCCACAAATGTAACTGCACAATGTCACTGCGGCTTAATTTTCACTCCAATTCAGTCATAGAGGCCTTCTTCATACCAAATATCAACCAAAAAATCCACCATCTCCTGCAGACACCATAAATAACTGAACAAATCAGTATCATACTGAGAGTGAGATAGACAATAGACGTTGATATTTAAGATTACATACAGCTAATGGTATTGGCTGGTGAAAAGCTTCAGTAGATAAAAGCAGATCCTCATAAGCTGTGGTCCAGCTGCAAGAGAAGACTATAAGGTCACTCTTCGATGGAAACAAAACATTATTAAAAGTTCATACAATTGTAATATGGAAAATTATCATATAACTATATCCTCAATGGTGTGCATATCAATGACCCCATCTTACGGGAAAATTCTCAGTTCGGTTTTAGCATAACCTTCTTACTGATATTTTGCTTCCTCATGCCTAAATGATTTTTTTTCCCTTTCTTTTCTCTCTACCAGTCTCGAAACTGACCTAGGGCTTGACAGTTCAGACCATTTTTTTTTTCCCTGCTGAGGAACAGGTTGGTCGAGGAGTCATAGGAAAAAATAGAAGGGGAATACTATTAAAATGCTTAAATGATTAAAAGAGACCCTCATGAGGGTTTACATAGGAAATATAACCTAAGAAATTATGGAAACTAAATATTTGAATTTCCAATCATGCAAATATACTCAGCTATCCTATTATAGTCTTGCACAAATTTCACATTAATTAAACCTGTTTTACTTACAAATAAAATACACCATAGGATTCAGTATATCTAACAACTGTTATACAACTCCCACTAATATTTCCTATAATCCACCTCAAACTCATGGGAATTCAGAAAAACCTCTATTAGTTTACCTTAGGTTGACCCCAAGTAAATAAATAATGTCCATGTTAAGGAAATTGAATATACAATTTCCATATTCTACTAGCTATCCTCCATGTTATTTTATTGGTAGTATTTATTTTCCTTAATTACTATAAAAGAAAAAAAAAAAAATCACTCTTTTATGGAATCTAATTTTTTTTGAACCATTGATTTTGTCATTTCATTTTCCTCATGAAGTGAGAGTGAATCATTACTGTTTTTTGTTGAATTAAACTGAAGATGAGGGGACTAAAAGTACACGATACACATTGTGTTTTTAGTAACTCAACTCAACCAAGACTTTTTTCCAGCAATTTGGATTCCATTATATGAACATGTTTCATCATTCCACTCTATCCAGATTCCAGGGCCATAAACTCCATTAAAATTACCCTTAAATTCAGGCCTGGCTTATAGCTTAGGATGTAAGCTTCGCCCAAAATGGATTTCAGGCTTATCAAGTCATCCAAGCTCAACTCAGTCCAAGCTAAAAGGCGGCTGAATAAAAATATTTGGGCCCAATGAGCTTGCTTCAGGGTTAATCTGGGCCGAACTTGTATATTTGGTTTCCATGTTTAAGGAAATTGTTAAAAACATGAATTACCAAGTATGAGAAAACGAGTTCAAGCAATCACTTTGTGCAAAATGATCTTAAAATTAGGTTTGAACTTTGTGCAAGATGATGTTAAAATTAGGTTTGACTCCTAGCAGTACCAGCAATGAGCTTTTATTCAATTGCTAATTGTCTCATATATTAACCCTCACAAAGTTTTCTTACAATCACACAAAATAAGTTTCAATAAAGCTCCCATTCTTCATTTTCTATAAGTCAAAATTATAATCCATAATCCTAGCCTTTCTAAATGGATATAAATGAATTCATTCACTGTATTATATTCTGTTCAGATTTTCTTCGAGCAACCGACTACTCCTGCCTCATATACACTTCCCAGTTGGTCAAACACATTTAATATTCTTGCCAGATATCAGAGTATTCACTAAATAGTCTAGGAACCTAAAGAAAATTGAAATTATAGTAGATTTCCATGCACATAAAAAATAAATAATTTGACCATTATAAGCAACACTGAAAGCATCATTGTGCAAATCACAAATATGCTAGTAAAATTCAGAAAAATAGAAATGAAGCATTTACCTCACAATTGGTTCTCTAGGCATTATCAGCGATCTTTGAGATCGATCACCAATCCACGCCCTTCTCCTCTCATGCCAATCTATTTCAGCTGCATGGCAAGGCCAATTCATGCTATTAAAAAAATAAAAATAAAAATTACCTGCTTATTTTTTTAATGGTACAACAAGAATTATGAGAAAAAAAGAAACGAAAAAAAACAGCAAGAGGCAGAAATTATGCGCTAGATATAATGGCCACGGCAAAGGTTCTAAAAATTGTAGCATTGTCATGTCAGACACAATAATATAAATAAATTCTCGAAAGAAGGATCTAAAACCCGAGTTTGACTAAGATAATATATCCTTCTATGGAAGGAAGAATATCATGTTAAACACCACCTACTTTAAAAGTTTAAGCTATAAGAGAGTGTAACTTAATAATTTATAACTGTGTGGCCTAATTTCGGTCCAACATGTGCATCAAGAACAAGCTATAAGGTTTGACTCAGGACCTTCCACTGCAATGATACCATGTTAACTACCATCCACTTTAAAAGCTTAAGCTATTAGAGAAGGTTTAAAAACTTTAACTTAATTATTTATACCTCTAACACACCTCTCGGCGTCAATACATTGTTATTGCTTAATTATCATTGTGTGAAACAAATGAAACTATAATCTGCTCTCAATGTCCTGCAGTTTTGTTCAAGGAACTTTATGCATATTGGCCTCTAGCAACACAAAACGAGGATTTAACATAAACAGTACTACGGCAGAGTTTATACGACAATCCAAGAAAGAAAAAAGTCAAACAAGGTTTCCAGCTCTCGCTTAGAAATGTTTATGCCCAAAATTGCCTTCAACCAGACTTGACACCAGAAGTTCTTGCTCGTCCATAAAAAATAAGAACTGCAGATGTTTCTAATCGGTAATTAGCTAAAAGTTTGATCCAGCAACAACAAACTGCTGGTTGACTTTTAAGAGCTGCCTAGGAAATCCAGATGTAGGACAGTCAACTGTGTAAAAAACAAGCAAACCAGCTGGACCAGACAACTTTGGAGCACCAACATTCATCACAAACTTTCTGCACTGTATCATAGAGCAATAGAATACTTCATCATCATCCTTGCAATAAAATACTCCTTCAAACTAACTTTTATCAGTGCTTTAAACAGCTAAAGCACCAATTTCGACCATGTAAAAGAATTGGCTGGTTCAGACTGACAATTCTGCAAATGACCTTCTACAAAATTAAACCAAATTATCAACTATGTTTTCCTTACTTGCAAAATATATTACAAAGCAAAAACTGATGAAATGTCTGCTAAATTTACCATATCATTCATGGCTGTAGATATATCGAAAAGAAACATTAAATATGATAAACGGTATATTTGAGTTGCAATATAATCTTTTACATGTTTACTTTGAATATTGACAGTTATAGGCAGTAACTATACTCCAGGATTGCTTAATAACTTACCAACACATATTATAAATTTGGAGTTCACGTGTCAAACACTCAACAATTAATTAAGTTTGAATACACTCAACAATTAATTAAGTTTGAATAATCGTACCGAACTAAATTATGCTTCAAGGTTTCATAACTATCAATAACCCTTTTGATCATGATTAGAAACTAGCAAGAGTTGCAAAGACAATCAGTGTGCTCCAACTTCCAAGTACAAATTTATAAACAACATAAATTAGTGAATCCATGGTGATGAAATAAAGTTTATAAGAGAGACAAACAAAATTTATAAACGACATAAAATAGTGTATCCATGGGGATCAAATAAAGTTTATAAGAGAGACAAACCATGGTTTATATAAGAATTGTGAACATCTTTTTCAGTGGAGCTCTTGTTTTCATTGACATTTTTAGAACACCTTGAAGGCTGCCTTTCATGGAAATGACAATTCTTTCCATTGATATCCATCTTGTCCATAAATGAACATTGCCTTTCCTTGCACCACATCCACATGAAAGGAAATATTAAGAGGTAGTTCTTTTGTAAGAAACAACACAACCACATAGCTAGTAATTTACAACGCAGGAAAAGATGCAATCTCAGGCAATCAAATGAAATGTTTTGGTGCAGCCATCCATTAAAGATTGACAAAAACTGAAATCAACAAATCAAAACAAAAAACATTCTCAAAATTCATAAATCAAGCTTGTTATGAAAAATAGCCAACTAGTTCCATGTTATCTCTGGATATTACCCTTTAATGCATAATAATTTTTATCCGGCACAAATTTAGTTGAACTTGTGCTCCACTTCGAGTATGTTGTGATACACTGATCAGAAAACCTGAAGAAACCTAATTTGTGGTTGTGTGTTAAATCAACAAGAAAAAGAGTCCAGCTACCTCCAGGGGCTTCTGAAATATCAAATACAGTATGGTTTTGGGCCAAATATATGGGGTCAAATGCACGAATCTTTTTTCAGCACCCCGCTATACTAGGATCCCATCTCATGATAAACTCTGATATTTTCATAGCAACACCTACTCGCTTTTTGGCCTTCCCTTGGATCTTTGACCATCTTGAATTTGAACCATATATTCTCAGTGGGGTGGTAAGTCCTTATTGGAGGGGTGACCAAATCAAGAAATATGATTTTCCCCCACCCGCAACGGTGCAGTGCCATAGAGAAATCAGCCACTGCTTTGATCTGTATTTCAGACTAAAAATTCACTAAACCAATAAAGAAGACAGTTATCAATTCCTAAACCTAGAGTTGACTTTCTGTACTTCTTGCATCAAACTACTACCCGAAATCATAGACTGTGTGTGTATATGTATATATCATCACAAGTACCCAGCATTTTTTCGAAAATCCCCTACTTTAATATCGAAAACCTAAAACCTTTTATATACACAAACCTCAACACTTTAATTCATTCAAATTATACTTCTTGCACAAACAACTACCGACCCAAAATCATAGATGCCTGTGTGTGTGTGTGTGTGTGTATGTGTATATATAATCACAAGTACCCATCATTTTTCTAAAATCCCCAACTTTAGTATCTTAAACCTAAAACCTTTTATATACACAAACCTCAACTCTTTAATTCATTCAAATTACAGGTCATTGAATATAATGAGACGCTGGATTCTTCAAGTAATAATATATCATTTACGAGTACTAAAATACATATTCTTTGTCTATGCATCGAATTACTATCAACCCAGTGAACATAAAAGAGCCACGAGCATCAACTACGCAGAAAAATCTATGAAGAAAATAATAAAAGACACCAAAGAAAGAACCACACCAATCTGATACCAAACTAAAAACATAAACTACAGAAACCCATTAAATTGCACGAAAGTAAACCACAAAATTTCATTTTAAGCTAAACCAATTTAAAGAAATTCAAGAAAAGTAACAATTCGGATGCAAGAAAAAGAAAAGGAGATTGAGTCTACTACATACCTTTGTTTCAATTCCGAACTGGGTAACTGTGGATTCTGAGAGGGTTGAGCCAAGTTTGGACTTCATATGACAATATTTGGTTCTAAGATTTAAGATGGTTTTTTTTCTTTTTTGGCAAGAAAGGTGATATGATGGAGATTTTGAAGATTGTTTAGTGTTTACTAGAAAGATATTGATTGACCACGATATGCCCAAATTCCAAACTATACAGTCGAGTCCGGTTAAGAATGCCCACGTTATTGTCTCCTATTTTGCTAGTCACACCCAATTTTTATAATCGTATTTAATTACCTACAGGGACGGAGCCAACGAAGACCTAAGGGGGCACGTACCCCATGAGTTGGTCAGCAATCTACAATATATGTGGTAATTTTAAAAAAAAATTCCATATGTATGAAAAAATTTATATAGTGCCCCCTCAAAATTTGTAGTTCATAAAATTATATTCTTATTTTTTATTTTACTCTTCACATTTCTTAAATTTTCTTAGTAGAAAAAGTCAAATTTTTCTTCCTCAGTTGAAACTTTTTAACTATTTCCTTCTTTCATTTTTATTTCCTTTTATATTTTAATAATTTTCTTCTTCTTTGTCTTTTTGAATTTTATACTTGTTATATATATGTGTGTGTATTCCGTATTGTTTTTTTTTTTTTTTTGTTTGGCAGTGTGCCCCCTCACTTGAAATCCTGACTCGTCATATGCTTCGTTTGGTAAGATAAAATTAACTATAAAATATTAAAATATTTCAAATATTTCGTCAGGTAGAATTAACTAGAAAAAAAAAAAACAGAAAAGAGAAAAATTATAAACCTTTTTAGAGTTTGAATAGAAGGAAAAACAAAAACCAAAAAAAAAAAAAAAAAAAAAGACAAAATTTTGTTTTCCGCTGCCTATTTTTTCCCAAAAATTTTCATAACACGCGAAAATATTATTTTCCCTTTTATTTGACTTTTCTATTTTATTCAACTAACTTGTTTGTATTTATTTTGGGGGAACTATTTCTTTTGTCAAGGAGTATTTTTATGAAACAGTTTTTTTTTCTTTCAATAAAATATGATATGTTTATCTTTTTTATAATTCACCAACTCTTAACCCTTGATAGACATAAATGGTGATTAATAACGAAAAAAATAAAATATCTAATGTGGAAGTTTAAAATAAAAGAAAAAAATATTAATATTTCTTTAATTATGTCTAATTGCCTTATTTTATTATATATATATTTTTTATCATCAATTGCACAATTAAATTTTAACTAATATAAGGATTGTTTTGGTAAGTGGCTTTCTTTTCATTTTCATTTTACCCAACTTAACAAAATCATATTTTCTCGTAATTTTTTTGAAAAACTTTCATACTAACAAAATGCATAGTAGAAACTTAATTTTCTTTTCTTTCACTTTCACTTTCTATCGTAAATTTCTATCTAACCTATAACTTTTCTCACACAAAACACAGGAAATAATATTTTCTCCTAAAAACAGCTTCTTTTTATTTGAAAATCCTATTTTATCCAACAACCGAAGCATGTAAAAAATTAACTTCTTTATTTTCTAAGTGGGTTTCTTTTCTACTAAGTTTCAAAGAGGCAAGTTCTCTAACAATTTCTATTTTAGTAGACTTCTAGAAGGCAACTTCTCTCCAAATATGTTATCTTGCAATACTATTTGGACGATTTTATTTAATTTTTGTTCCAAATATATACATTGTATAATTTGTATCAGATACATTATATACCTCTATTATATATACAAAGAATAATATATATATTTTTCTGTTTTTGTATTATATGGTTGAAAGCCCATACATCCATGAGCCCAAATTTTGAATTTTGAATATTTTTAAATTATTTTTAGCTTTCTTATTTCTCTTAAATGAATAGTTAGTTCTACATCTATTGTTCTACTTAAGAAGTATTGAAGTATTGTTTTAATTTAAACAATTTAAATAATTATACTATTAAAATTTAATAATTCATCATTTTATTAAAACTTTGATAAAAATAGACATCATCAAACACAAATTTATTTATTTTTTTAGTATTTGAAATCATAAGAGTAATTTTGGTATGCACAATCACTTTCTTTTCATTTTCATACTATCAAAACTAACAAATTAATATTTTTTAAAAATTTCCCTGAATAAATTTTCACACTAACCAAATACTTCATAAAAAATAACTTTTCTTTCATTTTCCATTTCTTTTCCTTTCTTGCTTATTTTTATCTAACCAAACGGAGCTAATGGAATGAGAAAAATGGAGGGAAAAAAAATATATATATTGATGTGGCTTGTGTAATATACAACAATTTTATGAATTGAAACGTGACAATGTAACTTAACAGACCGTTAGAGATTAAAAAAAAAAAAAAATTACATAATATATGTGGCACTGTATATTTTACACAAAAGAATGTTTTAACAAATCGCTGGAGATACTCTAAGAAATACACACACCAATCTAACACTAGGGTTGATTTTGAAAAGATTAGGGCATGTTTACAAACACTCTTACTTTCTATTTTTACTATTAATTCCTAAAAACGCAAAGTAAAGGTCCAAATCATGTTCACTAGTATAATTTTATTTTTTAATTTTAAGAGAGTAATTCCATTTTTAATGAAGAAAAAACGAAAATAAGAATTTGTTACTTTCTCTACTTTGCAATCCTCTTCTTCTACTCACCCATCATCCTTTTGTCATTAAAATATTATTATTTTTTCATCCTAAGTAATCAAAATCATGATTTTACTTTCTTAGAAAAAGTAAAATTTAATTCCTATTATCATAACAATAACTATTTTGAGTAATGGACATTCACTTTACTGTTATATAGACTTTAGGGACCAGATGCATTGGACTCATCCGAGCCATAGGCCCATAAGTATTGTGAGCATGCAAGGACATATTGTGCACATATAGCTTGAATGAATTCGGTACACAGTGCAATGGTGACTGGGCGAATCCAATCCCTTCTCTGACTTTAGGTTTTTTCTTTGCTAAATTAATTGGGTTAGCATTTTGCAGATCCACACTTAGTCATATTTAGCATATTTAGGGTTTGGTCTGTGCCAAAGCCCAAACCGTCATGCTGGGCTAAAAACTATAATGATGACTCAATAATAATGGTACTTTAAATAATAAATTGGCTTATTTTAAAAGTTTATTTTTTAATCTAATTTATTAAGTAAATTAATTACATGTGTTGATAATTATTGTTCATATCCAAAATATCCTTCAAACTCTTATTTCACAATATTAAATTATTCTTCTTAAATCAAATAATTTCTTTATTAAAAAATTTAAAAAAGTTTCAATAATAATAATTATTACTTTCAAATTATAAAATGCATAACAAAGTTAAAAAAAAAAAAGTCCAATAAATACAAGACTCTCATCTCAAATAGACTCGCCCTAGCTCAGTTATATCATGATTGAAATTATTTCATCAATAAGATCAAAATTATTTAGGTTTAAAAGGTATTGACTAAATTACGGAAATAAGGTGGGGTTGATTAATTTGTTCTGATTACTTCATTCAATCTTTTATTATTTATTTAACAGACTGTTGATTCTGGTTTATATCTCGAGATTCTATTATTCAAGTCCGCCTTAGATGCTATCAATTATTATAACTAATATTATTATTGAAGGGATTATTTTTTTTAGAAAGGGAAATTTCGTATTTGAAATAAGAACTTAAGCATTTTCAATATTTTATTTAATTTAACTGAAGTTAAAAATAAAATTTAAAAATAGATCATTTTGTTATTTGAGTAATGCTTTTAAGAAGTCTCTTTTACGAGAGAAGAGTTATGAGTGTTTCCAATTTAATCATTAGATTAAGTCATTTTTATAATATGTAAAAAGTCAAATCAATTATTTAATACATCTAAGTTAAAAATTCGGAAAACTCATAACTCTTTTTAACAAAAATAAATATATAAAACGTGATTTGGATATGGTACGATTAAGTACAATAAAATCAATCACAATTAATAATTTGAACTTAATAAATCTAATTATCCAGTAATTACAAACATTATCATGAAATAAAAACTAATGTTAGACTCCATTTGTTGCGATACAAAATATTTTTATTTTTAGGTCAAAATTTTCTTTTATTTTTATTTTTTGGAGTTTGGTATATGGTCTAGATTGAGTCTATTGGGAGGAACGTGTAAAATAATTTGTTAAAAATTAATAAATAAATTATTTTGTTAAGTTTTTATATTATTTTTTTTGTAAATATTTTACGAATACCAAACACTTAAAATTTTTTTATAAAAAATTAGTTAAAGTAAAAAAAAAAAAAAAAAAAAAAAAAAAAAAAAAAAAATTGATTCAGAAGTTAGATTCAAGAAAAAGAACATGAAAGAGCGAGACTGAGAGTAAAATAAGTAGATGTGAATGGCTCGAAGTAACAAGTCATTTTGAAAAGTCTCGTACCAAAACTATTTGTTTACACTCTAGAAAGCCCAACAAAGTGTCGGTAAGGGACGTCAAAGTCCAAGTCTCTCTCTCTCTCTCTCTCTCTCTCTCTCTATCTATCTATCTATCTATCTATACATATGTACATATATGTATACATATATATATCTAAATACTTATCATTACAATCTTAAATGAAAAAAAAAAAAATTTGAATAAAATATTTTTACGAGACCAAGGAAAAAAAATTTGTTGAATAAATTGTCTCTTTTGACTGGATAAAAAAAAAAAAAAAAGAAGTAATCATTACAAATTATCTCTTTTGACATGAAAAAACCCCAAATATATATATATTTATCGAAGAAATCATTTTTTTGTTAAGATTTAAAAAATTTATCTCTATTGAATAAAGTATCTCTTTTGATAAAGGCCAAAAAGAAAAAAGTTTATTTTAATCGAATAATTTTTTTCTTTTTACAACACCCATAAAAAATTACCAAAAAAAAAAAAAAAATTATTTCTTTTGACTCGACTAAAGAAAAATAACTTTATTGAATAAATATCTCTTTAGATTGTATTAAAAAAAAAAAATCACTAAGAAATAAATTATCTCTTTTGACAGATAAAAATAAAATTATTAGTATAAAATAATTTATTTTTTTTAGAGGACCTCCCAAAAAAACAAAAAGAAAGAAAGAAAAAGATAGTGAAGAAGATTTAAAAAAAAGAAAAAAAGAAGTTAAGTTATATAAATGATAGTTATGACATTATAAATTAAGTAATAGTGTTTAATGAATTCGAGAATTTTTTTATTTTTTTATTTAAAATAAACAAATAAATAAAGTGTAATCGGAGAAAAATAAAGTAGTCTCAAATAAGAAGTGGATTGAGTATACAAATATTACTACTGTAACCATTAAAGAACCGACAAAAGTTCCCCCTTAAGACATTTTGCAATTCCAGCCTCGTACCGGAATTTCTTCTTCTCCCCTGTTCGCTATTTTCTATATGATTTTTCCAAACATTTATTTAAAATGTAATTAAGCACTTCTATTTTTTTTATTTTTTTCCATTTTAAAAAGCATAAACATTTCTTTTTGAATTACTGCCACTTACTCTACCTATTATCAGTAAAATATGTGGATGAATTTTGCGTGTGATTGGTGTGGAGTCTGGACACAAGTAGAGACAAAATTGTGCACAAAGTGGGTTGTGAGAAAGTGATTGGTCATCTCTTGAAATACCTCGAAACTTAGGCACCAGAGACCAGACCATCTGGTCTACCACGTCTATATATATATATATATATATATATATATTACCATCCAAATTAAATGAAATCACGATATATATACCAGAGACTAAGATCATTAGATTTACTGCTCCCAAGAATATACAATTAATTTACCTTTTAATTGCTATATCATTTATGACTCAACATTTTTTCTCGTTTCAGTAACTTATGATTCCACATTCTTTCTGCATGTTTATTGTCTTTCAATGAAGTGCCATAAGGATCACTTGTCATTTTTTTTTTGAAAGGAATGTTATTTATACATGTGTATTTTGTGTGCGTATTGTGCGCACACAGAGAGAGTTTTATGTTTAATGAATACATTGGTCCTAAATATCACATAATAGAACCAATCATAATCCTATATTTGGTCTGGATCTTTAAAGTTTTTAAAGACATCAAAACATTAAAAGAACAACTACTTTAAAACGTTTTACAAATTATAAATAATGAGGCCAAAAATAATTGTGTATTTATTTATACAATATGTATGTTGCAGTCTAAAGAATTTTAGAATTATTGAAATATGTGAGTATAGTTTTGATTTGTTCATTTGCTGAAACTACTGAAACAAGTCCCAAAAAAAAAAAAAATGTTAAAAAATTATGCTAAATATGTTACCCTCTATATAATTGGAATTTCAGTTACCAATTCTTAATTAATCATTTACTTTATCACATGGTATTAACCCGATTGTAATTTTTCGCTTTTCAAAATAGTCTGAGTTTTTTTTTAAATATATATATATATATATATATATATATATATATATATATATTTATATTTTCCATCACATTTTAAGAATCCCATGCTAAATAGAGAGGTAGTAGTACGTACCATCAGTAGTGGGCACAATTAGGGATGTCAATTTTTACCGCCCCGTCCCGTCCAGTTAATAACGGATATGGGAACACTTTTTATATTGTTGGGGCGGACATGGATACAAATTTTGTACCCGTTGCGGGTCATGGGGTGAGTAAGGGTTCCATATACATATCTTAGGGGCCCCGCCCTGCCCCGCTAAGCATATAATTATATTTAATATATATATATATATATATATATATAATATTAATAACTTATCTTAGCGACTTACCCAGTTATCCATCTCTTATAATCTTAATTTGGAATGTAAACTTGGTATTAAATTTGCTTTTATTTTAGTTATGGTGGAAGTTGGAGCTTAAAACTTCTTGTGACTTGGTTGTATTAAACTTTTATTTTTGTTTATTATGTTATCTGAATTAGGTTATGTGAATGTTATTTTTTTTTATTTTTGTTGGGATACATAATTTGAGTAATGTTGTTTCATTCCTAGGCTTTTCACATTTAAATAGCAAGAGCTTAAGTTTTAAAAAGTAGGAGAAAAAAATTTATTAGCAAGGCGGGCACGAGGGCATAGTATTTCTTAATAGGGCAGGACTGGACATGAAAATCCAACCCGTCGCGAGTCTCAGGGCAGGTATGGACTTGACAAAAATTAAAAAAGGTGGGGCCGGATTTAGAAAAAATCGCTTCAAACCCGCTCTGTTACCACCCCTAGGCACAAACCATGAAAACCAATAGTCGGGCTTCCTGAAATTTAATTATTTTTATTTCTGTCGGTAGGTTTGGATGGGCCCATCCCTTTCCCTTCTCGGATCTATATCTCTGTGTGTACAAAATACTACTCCTATAGTTTGTATTTATATATATATATGTGGGCTATGTATGGCCGACACAACAGTACAACCTCTTAGGTGTAAATCTTTCAGTCCAAAAAAGAAGCTGTAATATCTAAAGTCATGGTTTTGTAGGTCCACATTACGTACCAGTTTTTGGGCAGGCGATGGTCAAAGCATCAAAATTAGCTACAGGTCAAACATGGTGGTATTTTTTTTTTAAACCTCCCAATAAAAAAAAAATAACGACAAGGCATTTTCAGAGAAAGTTATAAATGGTCGTATAAAGATAAACAAATCATGAACCAATAAAATAAAAATGAAAGAACAGGCTTCAAATTTACTAAGAAACAATGCAACAGCGAACCACCAAGGGATGAAAGCAACAATGGGAGTGACCAGCAAACCACCAAGGGAGGAAAGTAGCAACGATAGTGACTTACAGATCAGGCCATCGTTAAGGTAACTATTTCAAAGCTGCATTCACAAGGCGCCGCCGATAGAGAAGAAACCCTCCAAACCCTGCACAAGAGGCAGGGACAACAAAACCCACACAGAGGCGAGGATCACAAAACCCACACAGAGGCGGGGACAACAAAACCAGACATAAATCGGAGATCTAGTTAAAAACAAAAAGCAAATCTACTCCGTTAAGTCAGAAACAAGCCTAATATGAGTAGATTTAACAAAATAACAACAAAACGGTACAAAAAACCACCCACCGAATGACTATGTACAACACGTCAAATTTATTACGTCCCATGGGAGGGGGTGGGGAGCAAAACAAAGGGAGAGAATGAAGGGGGAGGCGAGTGCAAAAGAGTGAGAGAGAGAGGGAGGGGGAGAGGGAGGCGGTAGGCAATGTTGATGGTTGTGTGATCTTTTGATTCACTAAAATCAAGAGGCTTAAAATCGTTCTGGACAAAAATAAATAAATAAATAAATAATCGTTCTGGACATGCCAAATCTTAGTAGTCTTTTTTAAAAAAAAAAAAAAAAAATTAGTTATGTGATTTAATTAATTTGATAATTGGTGGTAGGTCTTGATCTTTATTGTGCTAGTGTCGTACGCCTCCATATTATAGACACAAAATATTGTAGGCAACGTACCATACCAGTCCATGATCTCAATCTTTTTTTGCCGATTCGGTTCAGACTTGAAGCCCACAACATTAGTGACACACAATAAAAAAAGTTCTAATGTTCAAAGAGGTAAGATTAAGAGTCCGATTCTTACTACTGTCAATAAAAATTGTTGATCATGTGTCACTAGCAATGTTTAGAGTAATTAAACTACTATGTATGTTCTGCAACAAAGTTTTGCTTCCTCTATTGTGGGATTCCTAAAAAGTTAGATGTGTGCAATTTTATCTTTGGATTCGAAAATATTATTTCTTGACTCGAACTCATAATCTTCAAATCACAATAAAACTTGAAATGCTCATTAACTATTCAAATTTCTCAAAGTGTAAGAATTTTTTTCCTCCAAAGTCATGAGAATCCTGCAGATGTCGAATATTATTTTATAGTGTTTGGTTTAAACTGAAATTAATGAATAATATGAACATGTGGTCTTCTTTTTTTTCCCAATTTTGTTGGAAATTAAGAAAAACCAAAATTAATTGACTGTTCAAATTTTTTCTTCTCTCATATTATGTTGAACAATTATTCAAGCAATCTCTATTTTTCAGGGATGAAACAAACTTATCCATAATTTAATTAGGTGTGACAATGTATGGACTAATTTGATTTATCAATCACCATTTCATATACATTCTTATCAAGAGTTCATTTCACAAGTCTATTACATTTCCAATCTGCTTTTTATATAATAATCAAAATTGTACTGTCTGGTCCCATTAGAAAATGCCTCATGACCGTCCCCATTAATGGACCTCTCAGGATCAAGTATATCACAATTCGCATTTTACAATCAATGAAATCAGAATCTGACCCACATTTGGTCCTCCACCGGCCGGAATCTTTAGTAATTGAAATAGTGGCAAGGTAAAAAGATTACACTAGTTGGGGTAATTCAAATTTGGTGCATTAAAGGCTTGAGACAGACAAACATGTTGCTTTCAATAAGGATACAGGGTAAGGGACTTGGAGCACTAAGTCCATGTTTCTGTGGAGTCACAAAATTATAACTTCAGATTCTCTGCGATGCACCACACATTGCGATGTATCATGAATAACTGTGATCGCTCATACATGTAGTGGTACACTAATTGGGATAATTCAAATTGGTGCTTTAATGACCGAGACAAACAAACATGTTGCTTTCAATAAGGATTTAGTCTTGAGAGACTTAGAGCACTAAGTCCAAGTTTTTCTAGGAGTAAAGAGTCTCAGGTAATACTCATCACTGTATTATATAACGTTATACTTTAAAGACGACTGTGATCACTCGCACCTACAGACGTTTGAAGCTGAACGCTCCACATATATTAATAATCAAATCATCTTATATAAATTATAATACAACACGGAGTCACAAAACTATACATGCAACACAATAGGGGCACATTTAATAGGTACCCATCTACCTCTTCCACAGCTCACAGCTCATCTTCGTTACAATGCTTTTCCAGCCATGCAACCAAAGCTAACAGATTTTCCCATAAAGGGGAAAAGTAGTTGTGATGAAGAAACATTAAATAATTCTCAATACTTTCTACTTATTACTTTGTCTGTAATCATGCATCAAACCCTAGATGCTGTTGATATCATTCATATATATAACCGTATACGTATCACCTTATAATGTTGGGCCCCACTAATCTTTTTTATTTATATCAAGTGTACTGCCATGCCCTTTTCTCCACATACAACTTGTCATCAATTATCTCTCTCTCTCTCTCTCTCTCTCTCTCTCACTGCATTTACACATCACAATAATTCCTCTTTCTCAATATAGTCTCTTGATCCTCCTCATCTTCATTCCAATTTTATGGCTTTCTTTCTCTCTCTCTTTCTCATTCTTATGTTCCCTTCAAGCAATGTTGGTTTTTGGCCACCTTCTCCTGGCTACTACCCAAGTTCCAAATTTAGGTCCATGACCTTTTACCAAGGGTTTAGAAACCTATGGGGTCCTCAGCATCAAAGTTTGGGCAATAGTGGAGTAAAAATTTGGCTTGATAGTACTTCAGGTCTTACTTAGCTACAACTTTTCGTGTCAATTTTCTCATTTTCTTGGTGATTTTCTTCCATTTTCTTGATTGTTTTCTGATTATAGGAAGTGGGTTCAAGTCTGTTCGACCGTTTCGATCCGGGTATTTTGGTGCCTCCATCAAACTCCAACCTGGTTATACTGCAGGAGTGATAACAGCTTTCTATGTGAGAAATGGACTAAATCTGAATTCTATTGTTTTTAGCAAAAGTTATCCTGTTTATGAGCTTAATACTTACTATATCTATGCATATATTTATTATTATTAATTAATGTTGCACGAATGTCTGTACGTACGTATAAATGTTTAATCAATATGACTGGTAAAGTTGGTGAATTAGTATTAATCATTGTGTCTTATTAAATTCTTCATGTTTTACAATTTTACCCTCTTAATTTCTCTCCTAATGACACAATTACGTACTGTGAAATACATATTTGTGACATGTTATAATGTTAATTATATAAATGTCTAATTTAGTATATATAATTTTTAGAGGCTCAATTTTTATATCCCCTGTTGATAAATTGTGCAATGGCAGCTTTCCAACAATGAAGTTCATCCGGGGTTTCACGACGAGGTGGATATAGAATTTCTTGGCACAACTTTTGGGAAGCCATACACGTTGCAGACCAATGTTTATATCAGAGGCAGTGGGGATGGGAGAATTATTGGGAGAGAGATGAAGTTTCATTTATGGTTTGATCCCACAAAAAATTTTCATCACTATGCTGTATTGTGGAGTCCTAAGGAGATTATGTAAGTGGCTTCATCATTGCCAATTTACTACTATATGTTACTAATATGCATGTTTTTGAACCTAATAAATGTTTGTATCACATTAAAATTGGTTGCTCAATTGTGATTTAAAAGTCTAAGTGGAAACAATAGCAGGTCTGACCCTACCTAACTCTAACTCGTGCAATAGCGGGTGTCTCTTGCACTGGCTTTGCCTTTTTGTCGTCATAAAAAAGCAAAATGTTGGCACTCGTTGTTGAATTTTTTTTTGTTTTTTTTTTTTTTTTTCAGATTCTTCGTGGATGATCTGCCCATAAGAAGGTACCCAAGGAAGAGTGATACAACCTTTCCACTGAGGCCAATGTGGGTGTATGGTTCAATATGGGATGCCTCATCTTGGGCTACTGAGGATGGCAAATACAAAGCTGATTACAGATACCAACCCTTTGTTGGGATGTACACCAATTTCAAAGCAAGTGGTTGCTCTGCCTATTCTGCGGCTTGGTGTCGACCGGTCTCTGCCTCCCCATATAGCTCCGGCGGCCTCAGCCGCCAGCAGAGGATGACCATGAGTTGGGTCCAAAGCCACTACATGGTGTATAACTATTGCAGGGACAGTAAGAGAGACCATTCACTTACACCAGAGTGTTGGGGTTAAAAATTAACTCCTTTTACTCTATATTTTCACGTCTCTTACAAGCACTTGTTTTGGGGTGTCTTGAGATGCGTGCTATAGTCCTACAACTATTGGGGGATTAGCTTAGTGTCCAAGTCTCCAAAAAAAAAAAAAAAAAAAAAAAAAACACAAAATTGAAAACTTGTGTGTGTGTGTGTGTGTGTGTGTGTTTGCTTTAATGGTACCATTGGTGTACATTAGTGTGACCATACAAAGAATGAGAGGTGAATAAGAGACAGAAGCCAGATGGATGATGATGGGGTCATGGGGTTTGAGTGAGTGCATTCACTTATGATTTCTAAATAAGGTAAAAAGTTGTGTCATGTGCAGGTATTGGATGCCATAACAGTTAGTGCAATTTATGATTGGGGGATGGATGTTTTCACTTTGTTGTTCATGTATTATATGAACACTGTCCCACTATTTAACATACTATTATCTCTTCTTTGCAAAGAGAAACTTCAGAGTTCAAACGACAAATTGTGAGTGTGTAATTTGCTTTCTCTTCCCAAAGAAATAAAATAAAAATGAAAAAACAATTATCTGAATGCTGAATTTTTTATTGGCCTTTTTATTAGGTATATAACTCTGCGCGTGGAGTAGATTGAGTAACTTAATTTACACTAATTTTAGCCAATTTCTAAATCGACAAGTCTAATTGGAGCATATTTTTGTATTTTATACTTAATAATTGAATCAGATAAAAATTAAAAAGCATGGATTGAGCTTAAGTTACTAATATTTCAATATGAGTTATAATTTTCATGCTATTGGGAAAAAAAATAAATAAATAAATAAAATCAAGAGAAAACAATCGCATGGCATCCAATTGGGGTCCACAAAGTCGCAATATAAACTGAATTTGTGATTCAGGCTCCACTTGCCTAATACTCCTATTCGATGCCAACCTGAACTGAAGCAAAACCTGAGCAATAAAAAGAGCTGATCAAGACAGATGGATTAAACAGTGAGCAGTTTTATTTTTTATGTTAAAACAAATAAGGCCAAATCTTGGAGGCACTCATTTGTAATACTAAGAAATGAGATGTTCCTTCTTTGTTGAAATTAGTATCCTTCTAAAAGCAATGTCTCAACCATAATATATATAAAAATATTTTAATTATATGATAAAGATGATATTCCACTTGTGATACAATAATTAGAATGAGAAATTGACTAGTGTTTTAATTGAGTGCAATAATTAATTAGTTGCAACATTAGCAACATGAGCTAATTGATTGATTGATTGATTGCTTACATGTGAACTCAATTCTTGTCTATCAATAATTTTTTCATTACGTGCAGACACTTTGAAAAGTTGCAAAGTAATATACAAGTCACAAAAGTGTTTGACATTTATGACTTCTGTTTTTTTCACCCCTGCAATTGGTTCCATTTTTATTATTATCCTGTGATTCTACTTTTTTATTTTCTTGTTAGTGGAACTTCGACGTTTCACATCGTTTAGAAAGAAGTTGCTGGCACTTATACGTGGGAACTTCTCCTAATTATGTAGATGCGCGTTTTAAAAACTAAGCACATCAAGTGTGCAAAGCGAACAATACTCAGAAAGTGAGACGAACCTTTTTCAAAAAAATTGAGAAAAGTTGAGAGGCTCCATTTTCAGACTTCTCCTAACTGTGTATACGCGCGTTTTGAAAACTTTGAGCACAACAAGTGTGCAAAGCGAACAATACACAGAAAGTGAGACGAACATTTCTCAAAAGATTTGAGAAAAGTTGAGAGGCTCCATTTCCGATAACCATTATTTGATGAATTACAGGGAGTTGAAGCAAAACAGAAAAGAAGAGAGCAAAAAAAATGTCAATTCAGCACAACACATCCAGTGTGGCCCTTAATAAAACTAAAGGGGTGACATGTTTCTTTTCCCAATCAACAAATAATCAATGAATCTGAAGGCAGAGATTGCTTTGCAGTTCAATAATGCAAAAGCTTAGAGGTGCTGCTATAATGCCTAAATGAAACCAAAGGGGGTCGTTGGTGGGGAGCTTTTAAACTTTAAATGCAATGAAAGGATAGAATGTTTCCCCAAACAAACAGATATGGTTATGCATGAGTCCATTTCCATTTCTAACCTTCTCTCTCTTTTTGGCTTGTGCAATAAGAAGCAGTTGTGAAGAATCTTTACATATATCTCATCCTTTTCACAATTATTGTGACTTGCCAACCAATTCCTGCCACATAACACAAAGTATTCGGAATTGATGGACACGCTTCCAATAACATTGAGAAATATTTAGTCACAGTCCTATCATCGCAAATGAGAAGTTACTCAGTGGGACTAAAGAAAAGAAACAAGATTCACAATCACCTTTTAATCAATTGATAAGGAGACACTCAGTATCTGTGTATGTGTGTGTGATATGTATATATATATACATATATATGGATGATGTATAGCAGTGGGGGACTTGGGAGGTTGTCCCCTACAATGGCATGTCAAGTCGAGGTTGAGGCGTTACATCCACTGTCCCAAAGTATGGAATGACCCATATAAGTTAACACCCAGAGAAGGATGCCTTGTGAGCATCATTGCTTCCAAATCATGAATGAGGCCTACTTCTGTTTTTATGTCCTTTTTTTAATGTTGCCACTCTTTTTAAAAGCAGAAGATAAATGATTGAGATTCAGAAAACTCAAACCAAATAATTGTGAAAAAAAATAAAACTTGCAGCATGAGTTTGGAATTGGTCTACCCATCAACAAAGTTGGAGAAAGGATCGTTGAAATCCATTTCAGTAGCAGAGAGATGGTCAAAAGCCTCTGTACTAACTACACAATTGTCAAAGTGCATGTAAAGGGAAGCTTGTGAAGAAATTTTTTCACAAACTCCATTGATAATAGGCTAGTGATACATCTACCAAATTTGGAGATGCCAAATGGTAAATTTTATAAGTGGTGGCGTGAATCCCATAACATGATGTCAAGGTGATGTCGTATGGTAGGATCCATCCTCCCACACGTCACCCTAATTCGGTATCTTTTAAATTCGGAATGATGAATCATGTTTTAAAAAAAATACGGATAGAGTTTTTCAAGATGAAAAATTATTAGGTAGTGTTGTACCATTCAACACTTAGGGGTTCGGTTTAATTAAAAATAATATTTAAATTTCTTTCTTCACTCTTATGAATCCACTTTTCTTTTAGAAAATAATTCAGTATCAGGAATACCATGTTCCATTTTTGACCATGCCAAAGGATTGTTTACCATGCCTCTTGTTTAACCACGTAAAAGGATGGTTAGGAACTAATATGTTAATGGATGGATATTTATTTATTCATTGGTGAGTAGGTGATTTTTTCTAAACGTTTAATGTGATTCAATTACAAATACACATATTATTTGTAATTACAAAATTAAAAAAATAATAAATAAAGTAAACAACAAATTTTTTTTTTTGAATAAATTCAGCCATCATCCTTGTTTTTCTTAATTATTACTTTTTTTTATTTTGTAATTAAAAATTACATGTGTATATGCGATTGGATCACATCCCTACCATGATCAAATTGTTGAGTATTGTTCATCCCTACCTTGATCCTGGATGAATCCTCTTAAAATGAACTAGGATTCTATCATGTACGGTCCAACGCATAAAGATTTACATCACCCAGTGTGGTCTACTCGGCCTTGAAACCTCCTCCGTATGATGTAATCTTGTAGCCGATAATCTATATATATATATATATTCAAGGTTCACACCGTTCACCGCATCACTTAAGTAACAGAAGCATTTGATTCATATGATCAACTAGTCTATTATTGTAAAAAAAATATATATATATAAAAAATAAAAAAAATCTAAAATAGTGTATTATACTAGAATTTTTTTCTTATCTTTCCCAACGGAATGATGGACTTTGTTGTGATATGTCTGAAAAACCTTATTGGATTGGGCCTCTTTTTCGAGTACTACTTGGTTTAGGAAACTCCTGTTCAACATTGGGCCCTATTCTCCACAGCCCCACAGACGTAGCTATTGTTTTCAACAGATGGGTATTGCTTCGACCATTCTAAATAGATAAAATGGTACTCTGTATTCAGGCCCAAAGTGAAAACTCATGAACGGGTCAACCCAAAATCTAATAAACTTGCTAGGCCTACTGGGTCTATTTTCAATCCATTAATCAATAAAAGAAAATAAAAATACTTGCATGGTTTTAGAGAGAGAATTTTATTAGTCATTTCACATTTGGTCTGGTTGCACTCATTGGAGTTCTAACTTCTAAGCTTGTAAAGAGAGGCATAAAAAAACCTAGTGCAAATAAAAAAGTGAAATTAATTGAAGCTATTGCTTGCTTTTCACATTAGTCAATTTAAAGCGAAGGAAGATTGAGGCTTATGAACAGCCTTACATTAATGTTTTACACAGGCATTTGGATGTCAGTAATTTATGTTGTTTGGAAGTATGGTATTTAAAACGGGGAATTTGTAATCGATGGGATTTCAAATCCCATTTTTTACCTATTTTAAATTCTGTCCAAAAAATGCAAAATTTGATGGTATTTGGTAAAATATCCTAAAATTAGGTTTTTTTTTTTTTTTTTTTTTTTTTTTTTTTTTTTTAATAAAACTCCATTATCTATAAAATGATTAAAATGTATGGTGATAGTGGGGAAGGTAAAGAAATGGAGCACGAGTGCAGCAGGGGCGGTAATGCCACTCCACCAACCAAAAACATTAAATTTGTGGAGAGTGAAACCCCCCATTAAAGCTTTGGAAAAAAAAAAAAAAAAAAAATCAATTAGTAGGGCCCTTGATTGATTCAATAAATAGGACAGGTTAATAGAATATTGCAGAGGTGTTATCCCTTTCAATTAACTGGCAAATCTACCATCCCGATTCTGTGGGGACCTTTTGCATCTAACTTTGCTACCTGCGACCACTAGGAGAAGCATCATCCTTAATTGAATGCAACATCAATTATTGTTACCCTTCACCTTTCTTCAATACCATCTGCCACTTCTTCTTCTTCTCGTTTCTTCAATTGTATGTAAGTTAATCATCACATTTTAATACTTTTTTGAATCAATGCCTGGACCCAATTCAGGTTGGATCAACATTCAATCTAACCTACCATTGAACATGTATTTTAAATTCTAATTTTTAT